AGAGGAGCAATGACTTGGGAGTCCTGGAGGCCACAGGAGGGTGGGGCTTTAAGCCTTACGAGTGGTCAGCCGGGAGCCAAGTTAGCCTGGGGGGGGGTCCCTCACCTGGAGCCCAGTCTGCCTACATGGCTCTCAGGGTAGTGATGGGGGTGGGGAGGGGCACCTTACCCAATGCTCAGGAACCTGACTGATCTTGCTGCAGTGACTATACGTTTCCTGGGACAAGAGGAGGCAGAGGCCGGGTTCGGCCCAGGGGACCTTGTCAGGCCTAGCCTTCACTGGACTGACCCTACTGCTCTGAGAAATGGGAAGGTTCCTGGCTTTCTAGACAGGGCGTGGGCAGAGCTGGGCCTTCGTGCTGGCTGACCGAGGGCCAGCATCCGGATGGCGACGCATGCATGCTTGGGAAACCAAGGTGAAGGACTTTGGGCTGCTGCCCTGGGCACCGGGGGGACCGTGGCAGGATGTGGAGGGAGCGAGGGCCCGCTCTCCAATCACTGCTTGGCCCCTGCCCTGCTGGCTGCCCTCCCTGGCTTGGCCGTGCCCACAGCGGGGGGCCCGGGTGGGGGCTGGCATCGGCGTAACTCTGTCCTCTCGTGCCAGCCATGTACTCGGTGGAGATCACGGTGGAGAAGGACAAGGTGACCGGGGAGACCAGGGTGCTGTCCAGTACCACCTTGCTCCCCCAGGAACCGGTCCCTCAGGGCATCAAGGTCTACGAGGATGAGACTAAAGGTAGGCAGGCCTCCCCGTCCATTCCTGGAGTCCGGAGCGCCGACGTAGGCCCCAACGGAGCGGCCCGCTGCCCACTCATGCACCGGCAGGCCGTGGCTCTGGGGCCTGCGTGCCGTCACCAGGTGGGGGCAGGACGTATGGGCCCTGGACACAGGTGCCTGCCTTAGCCCTGTCTTGGTGGAGGAAGGTTGGGCTTGGGACATGTGGCAACTCAAGAGTCCAGAGGGGACATGTACCGGGCCAGTTTCATGTAGAAACCGCCAGGGACAGGGCTGTGCCTCTGGGGTCCACCATCGGGTCTTTCGGGCACCCAACCTGTGGGTCACACTGTGCCACCCGGAAGGAGGTCACAGGATTCCAAATGTGACCAAGGCCAGGTGAAACTGGGAGAGGGGCAGGGTCAGTGGCAGGGGCGGGGCTCCACAGAGAAGGGGACCTGGAGGCGGGATGGGGCGTGGGGACAGGGCCCTGCAACAGGCTGTGGTGGTGGCCTTGCCTGGTGGTTGCTGAGTGAAGGAAGGGGTGCGGGGGCAGGGCTGGGTCCTGTGGGCCTAGGGGTGGGTGGGGGGCGTTGGGGGCTCCCTTTGGGGGCAGGCAGGCGTGTCCCTACGCCGCGCCTTTTCACCGCAGAGCTGTGTGCCTCCGCACGTGTGCCCGAGTCTCGCTGGGTGGGCGGTCCCCAGGGGCCGCGGGTCCACTCTCTCCTGGGTCACGTGGCGACTTCCTGTGGGATGGCCGACTGCCTGGTTCAGCGGCCATGCCACTCCCACCCCCTCCACTCCCTAACGCGATCGAGGCTCCGACTCCCCCTGAACTGGCCCTGTTGGTAGCTTTTCTGGCGCCTGCCAGGGGCGCCTTGGTGGCTAGCGGGCTACTGCTGGGCTGCTAAGCAAAAGGTAGGCAGTTTGAACCCGCCAGCCGCTCCCTGGGAGAAAGATGAGGTTTACTGCTCCAGTAAAGGTGGGCGGATCAGAGACCCGCGGGGGCAGTTCTACCCTGTGCTATAGGGTCGCCTGGCGTTGGACTCCCCTCCTTGGCCGTGGGTTTTTTTGGGGGGAGGGCTGTGATGCGATATATCATTGTGGTCTGGGTCCCCATGCCCGCTGTGAGAGGCTGGCTGTTGGGGTCCCTGGGGTGTGGCAGCAGTCGTAAAAGGGGGCCTAGTCTGGCCCAGCTTGTGGGGAAAGACCTGACTGGACTCCTGGGCTGGAATGACCCTGAGGGGGCAGAGGAGATGTGTCCAGATCAGCTGCTCTGACCACCCCAGCCTGCCTGGCGTCCCAAGTCCACAGCTGGGCCCCTGGGGATTCCAGACCCGCCAGACTGGACTCTGGTTGCTTAGCAGCAGGGAAGGTGATCTGTTCCCATGGTTACTCTGGGCTGGGATTCCTAACTTGGGGCCCTGACCCCCCTCAGAAAACCCTCAGGCTGATTCTGCAAGTCCCTGGCTTACCTCCCCTTCTGGGCCTCCAGCACGCAGTCCAGGTGAAGTCTTGAAGGGGCTGGAGGCCACAGCAGGAAACGCTGCCCTTCCAGCTGGAGGCTGGGTCCAGGAGCCCTGACCCTTGCTCAGGGAGGTGACAAGTTTCCGGGGCCACCCATTCCACCCTCCTCTCTACCCAGTCATCCCTGGAAGGCCTGTATGTGGGGGACTTTGCAGGGCTGTGCTCTGGGGCTGGGGTCAGACTGTAGCCAGGAGTTCTGCCCCAGCAGTGCTGTTGGTCCTTCGAGACGGGTCACAGTCTCAGCACGTGACAGGCCAGAGACAGAGACAAGTGAGGTGGGAGAGGTTTTGCGCAGCACATGGAACAGGATCTGCAAAACCCACCCTTCTAAGCACGGGAGAGGAGCGTTTTCAGAGAGCAACTATGCGCTGAATTGCAGAAAGGAAGGACTAGGGTGGCTCTCTGTGTTGCAGTTGTCATGTTGTGGACTGTGTTTCTTAACCGTACCCCTCCAGCCCCTAAGAAGGAACGATTGTCTTCTACTTAAATCTTGAGGTACAGGGGCCTGATATCAGCGTGGAAATTATATACTATCTACTTTTGGGAAAGAGCAGTATAATCGAATACGTAGGGTGCAGCCAAGGCAGACCTCAGAGGAAAACGTATAGCCTAGCGTGTGTCTCACTGTTGCCATAAATGAGTTGCTGTAACCAAAAGAACTCGCCGTTCTTTTCTCGCCGTTCGGGAGGCTGCAGTCGGCGTCCTTGGTGCCAGCCCTAGGGAAGGTTCTCTCTATTGGCTCCGGAGCAAACCTCCTTATCTCTTTTGAGTGTCTGCCCCTCAACACATTGTAGGTGATTTGGCATCCCTCTGCCTTGTTAGCTTTTGTTTTAATTTCTCTCTCTCTCTTTAATCTAAACAGAAATTGACTTAAGGGACACACTGCATTAAGTCTTGTCTCATTAACACAATAAAGAAAGCCTATTCCCAAATGGGATTATGGCCACCGGCAGAGAGGTTAGGATTTGCAACACATATTTGAGGGAGAAGGCCTGTGGTTCAATGCATAACATTGCATTCATTAGTAAACAAGAAAGATGGGGAGACATGAACTAAATTTGAAACCCAGAAGCAATCAAATCAAAAGAGGAGAAGAAATCCGGATTGCTGTGGGCTGTAACCCCCAGCTCCCAAGAAGAGCTGTTCTTAACTCCTGCAGAGGAAGGACGTTGAGGCTGAGAGGAAGGGCAGGAGTCTAGCTTTGGTCAGCTGTGTGACCACCGACCCAATTGCGTTCCCTATCTGAACCTCCGTTGTTGTGTTAGTCTGGGTGGACTAGAGAAACAAATTCATAGACACTCATATGTGTATAAGAAAGCTTTATATACAAGAGCAATTTAATATTGAGAAAACATCCCAGCCCAGTCCAGATCAAGTCCATAAGAACGATATTAGCCCATTCGTCCGATACCAATCTTTAAAGTCCTCTTCAGACTCATGAAACCATGAAATGGCTCCAAATTCAGGAAGATCCCAGGCCAGTGGGTAGAAAGTCTTTGGATCCAGTGGCGTTGTAAGCATCTCAGCGCTGGCAGGGGACTCCACGTGGCTCCTCAGGTTCCAGTGGTCTGGCTCCAACCAGCCTCTCTCCATGCATCTTCTCCACAGGGATGTCTCACAGGGAGTGAGCGTAGAGAGTCTCCTTCCTCCAGGGAGGAAGACAGGAGTTCCCAGAATCCTCAGGAGAAGACCATGCCACACAGAGGACTCATTGACTGTCACCTGAGTGACAGCCCAGATTCCATCCACCCCTTCACTTTTAATCCTCAAATTGACAAGTGATTATATAACCACCACATTTGTCACCATCTCACAACGGAAAGGAACGTAGAACTACTGTGGGGTGATTGTAGGGAGCTAGTCAGCCGAAGAGTCTGGGATGCTTCAGAAGGCAGTACCATTGCAGCTCATTTGTCTTCAGCCTTTCTTGGTTTCTAAGACGTGTGTTCAGAGCTATGAATGTACCTCTGCATACCCCCTTGGCTGCTTTTCACAGATTGACTAAGTGGTTTTCACGGCCAGTTCATCCCAAGTGTGGAATTTCGTTTCTGCTTGCTCCTCCAACCTGGGATGGTGGTCTCTGTTCCAGCATCCCGGAGTGTGCCTGTGCCTTGCCCCGGTCTTCACCCCCGCCTGGGAGCCGGCTGGCTCACTCTGTCTCTCTCCCTCGCAGTGGTCCATGCTGTGGATGGCACCGCAGAGAACGGCATCCACCCGCTGAGCTCCTCTGAGGTCGACGAACTCATCCATCAGGCAGACGAGGTGACTCTGAGTGAGGCTGGATCCACGGCCGGGGCAGCAGAGACCCGGGGGGCTGTGGAGGAGGCCGTCCGGACCACACCTTCCAGGCGGGAGATCACTGGGGTACAGGCACAGCCGGGGGAGGCCACGTCGGGCCCGCCGGGGGTCCAGCCTGGCCAGGAGCCCCCAGTCACCATGATCTTCATGGGCTATCAGAACGTGGAGGACGAGGCTGAGACCAAGAAGGTGCTGGGGCTTCAGGATACCATTACAGCAGAGCTGGTGGTCATTGAGGATGCCACCGCGACCACCACCGCCGAGGCCAAGGAGCCCGCACCACCCAACGGCAGTGCCGCCGAGCCCCCTGCCACCACGGGCTCTAGGGAAGAAAACCAGGCAGGGCCCGAGGGCACCGTCAGCGACCCCCAGGACCTGGACATGAAGAAGCAGCGTTGTAAATGCTGTTCGGTCATGTGAGCCAGCCCGGCCCCCCAGCCCCTGGCCCCGCCCTCTGAACCACCAACACCCACCAGCCCGGCCCCTCTTGGCGCCTGCCCACCCTTCACCTGCCACCTCACGGGCCCCAGGACCAGTGGTGTGGTCACTTCCTCCTGGTTTTTCTTTCATGGGAAAGAGGGACAGGGACACCCCCACCCCAGCCCCATCGCCACCTCCCCAACACCCACCCTGATCCACTGAGCCGGGCGCCTGCGCCTGGTGGGAGAGAGACGAACAGACCCGGACCACCCCCCACCCCCATCGTGGCAGCTTCACAGATGCGGCGAACGTCCCCGCTGTCCAGGCGCTGTGACCGGTGGCTGCGATGTGGCCTCTGCCAGCCTGCCACCCTCTGGGGTGCCTTCCGGTGCCTTCATGCTGTTCCCGGGAGAGGGTCTCTGCCAAGAAGCCCCTGGGTTGTTGGCGAAGGCACTGGTTTCTCTGCCGGGCACTGGGTTGAGGCTGTGCCTTTTAGCAGTTTCAAGGGAACGCCAGGCTCAAGGTCTTGCAACGGAGGATGGGCCCCTCTGGGCATCCCCAACCTGATGTGCCCCTGTTCCCCGTGCCCTCCCTGACCCCATCCAGTGGAAGCTGGGCCTTGGATGATAGAGCTCTGAGGCACCCCACACACCCCAATTCAAGCGGGGTCTGTAGTCCCAGGCTGCCTTCTGCATGGGCCTGGCCAGGGGTCCTCCCGTTGTCTCCTACCCAAGGCAGGGAAACCACGTGAGCCACTTCAAGTCATGAGCTCCCACCCCTATTGGGCCCTCCTTCCTCCTGGTGCTAATTTGGGGACGCTGGGGGGCACCCCCTGGCCTCTTCTCCAGTCTGGTTGGGCCAGGGTCCTGGGCATCCCACCCGACCACCCCCCAGAGACCAGGCCCTACCGGCCAGCCCTACTGGGTTTAGAGCATTTGCGGGGATTGGAGTGGGGTGTACACAGCCTGGCAGGGAGGGTCCCAGAGCAGTAGATCCCCCTCATTTGCTGCCCAGCCTGGGGTGAGCCTGCTCCCTGCCCACCTCACACTGGAAGGGGTGGGGGGCTGCCCTGCAGGGCCAGCCAGCACTTGGCGTGAATTCACGTCTCCCTGGGCACAGCCACCGTCATTCCCAGAGGCACACTCATGCACCTTCTCACGGACATCCTCCTCTCACGTGCTGGCTTTGAACCACCAGGCCCCATCTTGCCCCCTTCCCCAGGAGTCCCTGGTCTGGTGCCCAGGGCCCAGGCCACCTCTTGGTCCAGCTGCCACACCCAGTCTGCGCAGGGGCAGGGGCAGGGGCAGGGGCCACTCTAACCTGAATCTGGTCCCAGTTTCAGTGCAGCCTCTTGCTGGCTGGGAGGCGAGCTCGCTCGGAGAGGGGCAGTGGCTGCGACCCGTCCTCTCCTTCCCTGGAGCCTGCCCCAGTCCCTCGAGCTGTGAGCCTCTGCTGAGGTGCCCTTGCTGCCCGCTTTCTGCTTTTGATGTGCGACAGGGCCCCCATGTCCTTGACTTTCCCAGAGAAGCAAATAAACAGTGTGAACAGCGAGAGTTCCTGGAGTCCTTGGATGTCCCCTGGGTGGGGAGGGTGTGTCCAGCCCCGAGGGTGGGGACTTGTCACCACAGTGGGGTGAGACAAGAGACACTGAGCTGGGGCCCAGGCTCAGCGACACTCCCTTTGCGTGCTGCGGGGTGGGAAGCAGTGGTAGACCTCACACCTGGCACTTGATTGCGTCACCCACCACACCTGTGCCCACCTGAGCAGCACCTGGCCAGGTAAGGCCTGGGTGGGGGGAGGGCAGCAGGGCCTGCTAGTTCCCCAGGAACCTGTGAGTTCCGCACCTGTTCTTGTGCTGTCCTTTGACTTCCAGGCTCCCCTTGGTGGGCTCATAGCCCTGTGGGGGCAGGGGAGGAGAGAAGGAAGGACCTCCCCACAAGCTTTGCAGAGAAACCAGTCCCCAGGAAATGGGTGGGGGGCAGAACAGGGCATGTTTATCAGGACCACCATGGGACTCGTGGTACAGTGGCTCGTGTTGGGCTGTGATCCACAAGGTCGGCGGTTCTAAACCACCAGCCACTCCATGGGAGAAATATGGGCTTTCTATAAAGGGCTATCCTCCCAGAGGCTCACAGGGGCAGTGCTGCCCAGTCCGTCCGGGAGTTGGCATCCACTTGGTGGCAGGAAGCGTCGAGAGTTTTAATGCATGGGCATGACACCCCCCCCTCAGTGTGACCTTGGAGAAGCCACTCGACCTCAGTTTCCCCACCTGTGATGTGGGCTCTGCGCTCAGGGGGTGGCCAGCCCTGGTTGTGGACTGGCTCCTGGCATGCTGGGCCAACACCTGCCTCTGCCTGCCCTACTGGGGCCTGTTTCCCCACCGGAACAAGTGGGAGGGGGGATCGTGGGGTGCGCTAAGTGGTGAAAGGCTCTGATTCCAACCCCAGTGCTCCCTTCCCCTCAGCTCTGTGCCTCAGTCGGGATTGTAAACGCCCGGAGCCTCAGTTTCCCTCTCTGTACAGTGGGTGTAAAGGTATTTGGAAGCATGCTGGGCTCCCCGGTTAACAGAACTCACAGCAGTGACCAGCTTCTTTCCCTCCCCCAACCCTCCGGTTCCCACCGTCCACTAACAGTCTGCGCCTGTTGGAAGAGACTGAGGCTCGGAGGGGTCCCGGCCTGGGCAGGACCACTCCGAGGGATGGATGTCTCAGGCTGTAGTGGGTGCGTGAAGCCTCGCCGCCCCCCTCCTCCATGCCAGCAGACCCCGGG